GTAATTTGGTTGAGACTCATCATAAAATCAGGTTCAAATTTAATAGCATCTATGTGTAATTTGTGAGTTGTAAATTACGAAGAAAACTCACCACCACATTTCTTTTGAATATTCGTAAATTGACCTAGGAAGTAGGAATTTGGTTTTGTAGTGGTAAATTGAAGTAAGGAGCAAAGTGCCTGAACTCAAACGTTACTTGTTGCCTAAAACCCGGATCATGTTCTTTCTTGCTGTAGACTGTAGTAAAAGTTCACAAGTTTCTCTTATGAAAATTTTGATCGTTTTTCATCCTATTCGGACTTCGAAAATTGGTTGTTCGGAGTTTCTCCATTTTATACGCTCCTATCTCTATGTAGTATAGAGTTTTTTTTTTAATACTAGTCTAAAAAACGTCTGGATTGGTAGTGGCAAATGGCACGTGATCAAATATGACAATTAGCATCGATATGATCAAAATTAAATACCACTTAGGACATTGGGTTAAGTGAATTGCCAGAGTACACGTAGCACGGTAGTTTACACACCACCCAACTGGCACCATGATCTGGGGTTCGATCCCTACTTTCTCTCTCTGAGAGATAATAGACCAGTGAGCCGGCCGTTGTGGTCCACATGTCGACAAAAAAAAAGTGATTTAATCCCGTGACTAAAGAGATTTATTGGTTTTGGTATTTTAATGAATTTGGAATTCCAACCCAAATTCTAAGTTATGCAACACACATAACTTGATTCTACTCGTTGGTATTATTAATATCCAACACTTTCATCGTTGTTATGATTTTATAAAGAAATTTTTCTAAAATGTCATTTTCAAATGCCAATTTTCAAAATGTCATTTTTCAAAATCTTTGCAAAAATATTATTTAAAAAAAAAATTATTATATCCTTTATATTTAGATTAACTATGTTGTATTAGAGTTTAGTTTTGAGGGTTTTAGGGGTTTTAGGGGTCAAAATATTTTTTAGGATTTATAATTTTAAGATTTAAGTTTTAAAAATCTATAATTAGTGTTATTTTTTCAAATGAACACTCCTAAGTGGCATTCTTGCAAATGAACATACAAAAAATGGTAGTTTTGCAATTGCCTTTTTTATAAAGTCAAATGCATCTTATCATAATAAATATGGAAAGCCGGTTATGGGACATTTGCTTTGATATTCTGAAAATTTTATTAAATTTGAAAATTTTAAAAAATATTTTTTTATTGGATTAAAAAACAATAATATACTCGTTTAAGAAATTCTAATAAAAAC